TTCTTCGTGTTTTAGTTATTAGTTTTATTTCAGTTCAGTTATTTCAGTTAGGATATTATTAGGGGTCCACAGTATGGATTCTCGAGTTGTAGTTTAATTAATTACTAGTATAAGAGGATTGGAGGATTTTATTATGGGATTTTTAATTATTATTTATTTGAGAATTTTTAAATAAGGATTTATTATTTAGTTCTATTCAGCTTATTATTTATTTATTTATTATTCTTTTTGTATTCAAATGCTTGTTTAAATATTAATTGTTTGATATCCCTTATATTCTGTGCTCGGACTTGATCACCCGTGACTCTAGAATCGAGGGGTATCACAACAAGGAAGTGGAATTAATATCTTGCAAGACGAAAGACCAGGTTGCAGATATTTTTACAAAGCCGTTAAAACAAGACCTATTCAATAAACTGAAGATGATATTGGGAATGCAGAAATTTAGAGAAGTAAGTTTAAAGGGGATGTTGAAAGTAAACTTAGCTTTTCCTCAATTCCAGAAGATGCAAGAAGCCACATCAATTCAAGAAGCCACAAGAATCCAGAAGATAGAAGAAGCCACAAGAAGATGCAAGAAGTCACAAGAAGCCATGAGAAGCTTCTAGAACCAGCCACCAACCACCATTTCTTTTAAAATAATAATCATCTCTAGACCAATCCACCATTTCTTTTAAAAAGAAACTCCTTTAACCTTATTTACATCCTAGTCAGTTGTTTAATCATTTAAAAAAAGTAAATTATAATTAAAAAAATTATTGTATTTAATCCCAAAACCCGATAATGATTTTAATTATTTAAATCACAAATCCAAAATTTAAGCTTTGACAAATCATTCATATCTCCACCAATATTATTTTATTAATATAAAATAATACACTAACCAGTAATTACTAGATTATTCTAATTTAAGAATATCTAATCATAATCTAATATATACATACAATAACCATAGATGATATTTTAATCATCTAACACATAGCAATTTAATTACGCTTTGGCAAATCAACCATGCCATTATAAATATTTTTATTTATATATTGGCAACTTAACCATGCCTCCTTAAATATATTAATTTATACATTGGCAAATCAATCATGTCTCCTTAAATATATATTTGTTTATACTTTTAATTACCAACTCATCCATGCTTCCCACGTAGGTATTTTATTCATACAAATAAAGTAATATATTTAAATCTTTGGCAACTCATCTATGCCTATAATTCAACCATGTACTAAAACTTAAAAGTTAATTTATTAACCAAACAATTCCTACATAGGAAAATTAATTTACAAACAAAATAATTCGTACCTAGGCATTTCATGCATATCTTATGCATATAATTAATTTAATAACCAGCCTATCCATATATATCAAGTAAGAATAATAATTTAATCATCTTAAATGATATATACATATACCAATATATTATACAATATATATATATGTATAATACCTTTCATATATATATATATATACACACACACTTTATTCCATACGAATCACAAGTTAAGTAAACCACACACACACACATATATATATATAAAATAATTAAATATATATATGTATACACTTCCTTCCATACAAAACACAAATTAATTAAACCATATATACATATAAATTATTGTTTATATATATATATATATATATATATATATATATATATATATATATATATATATATATATATCCACACCTCCTTCCATCACAAAAGGTACTAATTAATTATGTATACGCCAATTAAATACTACTAGATACCGGAGTAGTACTCTATGGCTCTCAGAACACCAAGAACACCTCCTCTAATGGTTGCTTCCAACCCTAGCGTCTTAAATATCAACTCTGGGAATTCATCGGACCCCATAGGAGCTTTCTGGGACCTCACACGCATTCCCATGCGCCCCCATGCGCCGCCACACGCTCCCACACTCTTTGCTCACGCTTCCATGCGCCATTAGTCACTGGCAGGTGCGTCCACGCGCCTGCACGCGCTCCCACGCGCCTGATGTTACTCTCGGCTTGAGGTGGCTCTTCCTATTGGGCATCTCTCTTTGTTTTGGTGCGCTTGCCCGCACCAAATTGTTTTATGCTTACTGGATTGCATCTATGGTCCAGATACATGCGCACACCAACTTAACATGTGCCGCGTTTCATCGAATTATCCATCACTCATTAGCACACTCCAATGGCCCAGATCCGCATATACATGGTAGTATCTTGTGCCGCAATGCACTAAATCCATCCATTAAGTTTAAATAAATCTAATGGCTCATATCAGCGTACATACCATTACATTATGTCATCACTGCACTGGATAAACTTCCTATTGAGGCGCCAATTATACAAAAGCCTTATATATATAAAAATAGTGTGTGTATATATATATATATATAATTATTCAAAAAAAAAAAAAATAGGAAAATAAATCAAATAAATTCCTAAAAAATACCAAAAAATTCCTGCAAAATACAGAAAATTCTCAGGAATTCTAGAAAAATCCCAAAAACTCTAGAAACCTTAATTAACCCTCTTGGGTCCTAGATGCAACCTATAACTTGTTTTTTAAAATATATGTAACACATATATATACAATTTAAAATCTAATAATCCAAAAATAAAAATATAATAATTTATCCTTTTAGTTATTCCGATTTAACTATGATTTTAAATAAATAAATTTAATCTAAGTATTGATATTCAAGGTGATAAACTTATGAGTCCTAAGAGGAGAGTTAAAAAAGAACTTGCTTGAAAGTTTCGAAACGAAACCGGCACTTCAAGCTTTAATTATCTCTTCCAATTCCAGCGTCTTCTTTCTCTAATTTGGCTTCCTCTTTGTCAGCCTTCTCATCTTCTCTCTCTACTTTTCTTATTTTTCTAACGTGTAAATTTTTAACCCTAAAACCTTATGTGTATATTTATACACATTAAAATCCAAATTCTATTCCAACTAGGACTATGAATTAAAATAATAATCTTTAAATAATATATATTTATAAACACATATTATATTACATATATATATATATATACCTTCCATAATTAATCATTGGTTAATTAAATCATATATACTTATATATATCACCATAAATATATAGCTATATAAATATCCTTCCATAACACGTATTAATTAATTATATTTATATATAATTAAATATATATATATATATATATATATTTATAATTATACAAAAATGATCATTTAAATAATCAAATAACTATGGGTCTTTATTAATTAACCCAATAAGGCTTCATACAAGCTCAAGACAACATCTTTTGGTCCAACTTCCCATAAGCCCAAATCCAATTAATTTAGCAAAATCAAATAATTAAATAAATACTTAAATTAAAATAACTAATTACATGAAGCACATAAACAAAATAAGAAATTACAATCAAGTCAGACCATACTAATAAAATCAACACATCAATAATTCAATCAATAATCAAACACACACACAACAATCATCATATCAATCATGAAGTATAATTTAATTAAAACAAGACAGTTAATCTAAGCACTCAATTTAAATAAAACAAATCATTTAAAATAAAATAAAAATAAATAAATCCATTTAATAAATCCTTTAAAATATTGGGGTATTACAGGTTTCCTCCTTTAAGGGGGCTTTGGAGCTCCAAACAACCTTTCACGAGAAAGGAACCCCAAGTCCCTCAGTGATACATTTATAGAAGGACCGAACATCAAAGTGGCCCTGAGAAACAAGGACCCACAGCCAGCCATCTGAATCTCCACTCATGATCTCTTGGCAATCCAGTAACTCCAAAAGACCAACACTGTCATCGATCTCCCAATCCTGAAAGTGCCTCCTGAAATGAACATTCCAAGATGATCTTCCATTATCAAGTTGATAACAGTTAACCATCATGGCCTGCCTATCCGTGGCAATCATGAAAAGCCAAGGGAAAGAGAGAGCAAGTGAGCGATCACCACACCAAATGACTACCTAGAAACTGATCTTCCTACCGTCCTTAAGCCAAAATTTTATGTGTTTCAAAAAAGCATCTTATCCATTCCGAATGAATTTCCAAACACCAATTCCCCCTAGAGTACACAGCTCAAGGGAACTCTAACCTCCTCTCCCCTCCTCAAATCTACTCGCAATCACCCTCCTCTAAAGCCTATGTCTCTCCATCCCAAATCTCCAAAGCCACTTCTTAAGAAAAAACCTTATTGAAAGGCACCAATCTTTTAATACGTAAACCTACGAAGCGAACAACAAATGTTCTCCCACCGAATCAGATGAAACTTGAACTCCTGCCGCAATCCCCCTTATAGAAAATTTCACTACAGCATCTCAATTCTCTCAGCCATGGAATAGGGAATGTGGAAAGGAAGTAAGTAGGAAGACTTAAAAGTGTACTCTTCAATAGGGTGGCCCTTCTTCCCTTGGAAATATATTATTTTTTCCATACCGCCAACCTTTTCTTGAACCTTTCCACCACAAGTCCCAGCTTCCCACCCTTCTCGAGGACGACCCAAGGGGTAACGACCAAATAGGAGATAAGAAACGAACCAATACTCCACCCAAGATCCTTGCTAAAATCGTGATCACAAGAACATCATCAACAGACACCAAAACGTTGTCTCCCACATTCACTTTCAAACCGGAGACAAAGGGAACACTACAAGAAAATTGACTTTTTACCACGGTGGAAAACACTTTCTACCACGGTGCGGAACTGTGGTAAAAAGTATTTTTCAACCGTGAAAGTCATTTTTTCAACCACGGTTTTGCACCGTGGTAGAAAGAAGACTTTCTACCACGGTTCTAAACCGTGGTAGAAAGTCATTTTTCTGGTAGACTTTCTACCACGGTTCAGAACCGTGATAGAAAGTGTTATATAATTTTTTTTTTTTTTTTAAAAAAATAGTGCAACCCCCATGAGGCCTTTTTTTTCCCTACTACTAGCCTTGCAAGGACTCCAGAAGCAAACACTAAATAAATAAAAAATAGCATCATAACCAAAATAAATTACAACTAACTAATAACATCATATATATATATAATCAATTCCAAATCATTGTTTTATACAAAAATTAGCCATATACAAACTTGTTGCTTCTTATACCATATACCAAAATAAAACAAAAATTCTTATATCTTCTTGCTCTGTTTTAGTCTCTCCCTTCCATTACATATATGCATCTTTTTCATGAGCCATACAAAAAATATAACGGCAACAAAAAATGCAACGGCAACCACAATCCTAGCTTTGACCTATAAAGATGTAATAGTTAAAGTTAGAAAATGTAAAACAAGTTGTAAAGTTGTCAAAATTAAACCAAGCAAAGTAAGCAATATAATAAAGGTACATTGAAAAGTTCTACTCTTCGTATTAACTCAATATCTTGGGTCATTGACATCCTGTCACCAAAAGAAATCATTTGAGTAGTAATGAGCAACAAAAGTATCAATATATATTCTCAAACAATGAACAAAACGAAGAGAATTTTGAAATTATTGGTTTTGAGGAATTATTATCCTCTCACTAACATAAGAGAATTTTGAATAATCTGTTTCCTGTTGAAGACTTTTAAGTACATGTTAAGCCTATTATACTTTGATGTTGATGTCTGCCATGTGATTAAAAGAACAACTTGGATGGTACAACTGTACAAGTAGAGTAAAACCATATCCATGCTTATTCTGGAATTTTGTCAATTTTCTTCATTAAAATCTAAGGGTATATGATGATGGTGAACCCCACTTTCCCCAATTAGAATTGCAGATTTGATAATTGGGATTTTTCAGTTTACAATTATTTTTAAATTATTATTATTATTATTATTTTTATGTGTGTTTTAACATTTAATGAGCAGGACAGAAGCTGGTAATGCAAAAACTCAAAACAGTACACTGTGTCTTCTCTCAATAACTGTTGTTGCACTTACCCAGCACATACCTCTCTCAAGTCTCAACTGCTGCAAAAATTAATGAGATGGACAAATATGGTACCAGACATTGGATGGGTATGGTTTTCAGGGGGATTAATTTCTTTATACAAGGAAACAAAGAAAATTGGATGTTTTTGAAGTTTGCTCAGACAGTGGGAGTGGGAAATTATGGTTTTCAGGGAGTATGATAATAATTTGCCTAATATGATAATAATTTGTCTAAGGTATCTTTAAAGTGTAACAAGCCTCACTAAAATACAACAGTTCTCTAACAGATTTTACCCCATCATCTCAATTCTCAGACAATGAACAAAACGAAGGTCATCATTAATTCCATTAAACCAACTCCAAGGTCCACAGTGAATATAAAAAACCTTTTACTTGGTTTATTCACAAGAAAATATACGGGATATTAAGTTATTTTATATTTCATTCTCATTTTCCTAACAAATCAAGCATACGAGTCTTAATTTCCTATCAAGTTAAAATGACAAAGAAGAAGCAAAGATTGTGTTAGATACAAGAAGCTTATCACGGTGAAAATCACAAAGAAAGGCAATTGTAACTAGGTGCTACCGTGGTACCTTTGTCCTCGCTCGCTGGTCTTTTCTCCTAAAAGAGTCTTCAAGAAGCAATATACAGTGAAAATTCTACGGAACAAAAATAGAAAATAAGTTCAAAAAGGAAACAACTGTTACTGTTAGAGTCAAAAGCCAAAATCCACACTGGACCAATAAATGAAAACTTATAGGATGGTTGAGAAATGGATATGATTCAAGCAAGTGAGCAACTATGCCTTTTATGCTTTTTTTTTTTTTTTTTTTCTTTCCTTAAATCCTTTTTATGTTCTACACATGTTGAACTTCCTATTACTTTTCCTCTTTTTTGCAGCACTATGAACAAATTAAGTTAATTTGTTCCTATAAGAAGTATATTAGAAAAGAACAAGAAGACCTCCAATTTCCATTCTTTTGGAACACTAGAAAATTAATACATACACTAATCATCTCATACTGCGGATAAATTGATTATATAGCTTCCAAAATTTAAGATCACAAAAAAACATGCCCTTATTAGCATACTCAAAATATCTACTTGATTCTGCTTTCCCATAAAAGAAATGAAAGCATACTACATTATAGTAAAACTCTTAAAGTGCTAAACAGGGTTCTTCACTCTGAATAAAGATTCTTCAAGTACATTGACATTCACGAAATCATCTACAAACTCACAAGTTATCTAATTTTCTTTCTCTTACTGTGATAAAGAATTTTTCATTATAAACCCAAAATGGGTACTCAATTTGTGAAATCTCAACTTTGACCAAGGATTTAAAGGTACAAATAAATGTAACTGTTCATAAAGTTGTAAGGCTTGTAAGAATCTCATTAAATTAAAGAGCACATACATGGTTAATTATTAGTTTTTTCAACCTGATCGCCACTCCTTTTGCTAATAAACTTTATGATTACGAGAAACTAAAAACCATCAACCCAATAGAGACCTCCCATAGTTTCATATGAAACAACTATCAATAATTTCATTCCCAAGAGAAATTAAAAGCAGTGCCCTCTACCAATTTCCACATACACATACATAAAACATGAATACATATGTGTGTGTGTGTGTGTGTGTGTATAGATACATATATGGAGGGATAAGATTTTCAAGAGCTCTTTGAGACTGGTGGATAGACTCTGCTATTAATTTCCTCAGTATCTTGTACATTTTTTCTATGTTTGGAGTGAGGTCGTCTCACAAGGGTGTTTGTGGGTGAGACATGCCAGGATTCCCTTAAAAAGGTATTTGACATCTAACTTTTGAATATCTTGTTGTCCTCTATCTAGACTACTGTCATGGATGATAGCTACGAACAATTTGGGAAGGATGGGAATATTCATGCCTAGTTGGTCTGCATCTAGAAGAGGGGCTGAAAGGAGAACACTTGAACATATTTCCACCATTGTGTGGAAGGTTGGTAGCTCAAGAGTTGTTTATATGGTTTTCTCGGCCTGGAAGGCTTAAGGTTATGCCTAGGCTTGTCACCTGCAGATTCTCTTCTTGAATGCTGCAAGGAGGCTGCGGCAGTAAAACAGCTTATCAGGCTTGCCAATTGATGCTTTTATGTCTGATATAGAGTGTTCAGTAGAAGTGAAATAGGCACACCTTTGAGGATGTGGAGATCTATGTTCATAGGCTTAAGAAAGCTATGTCGGATAATTTCCATTTTAGGATATCTGGAGGATTTCCGAACTCTTTAAACCTTTTTTATGACTTTTTAGGAATTTGAGTTATATAGGAGTCTATTTTATCAACTCTTACATACTTTGAAGAATAGTACTATTCATGCCCCTGTTCTCTTTTTGGGTCATTATCAGTAAACCAGTAAGTCTTACAACAATCCAGAGCTTCAAAAACTAAAAATTTGCTCCCAGTTTACAAAATATGATGTTTAAGAAATTCAAAAGAGAAACATGTTCATATACTTAACAAATTCCAAGAAATGAAATGTTAACATATACAAAACCCAACAATAGAATTATTCTTTTACCTAGAAATCAATAATTTAGATCATTCAGATTAGTTCAAGTTCAGGCTTCCCATGCATAATAACAAAATAACACATCAGGCATCTCTAAAAATAGAAATAACACAACAGATGTTAAACAACATACCTGTCATTTAGAAAAGCTATTGTAAGAGCTGTCAATTCAGCAGCAACAATGGCAAGCGGCCTCCTAAGAAATCCCAATCCTGTAATTGCCAAAGCACACTCATACTAACACAAACACATGCATATAAATTGAACACACCTTCGCGCCTTTCTACCATTATACACAGAGAAATAGATTGTAAACAAACCTAACAGCAACAGTCGTCTACAAATCGCCGAACATACCTTCGCGTCTCTAATGGAGGATTCCAGACTTAGGGTTTCTTCTTTAGGGGTTAGGGTTTGCTCCTATGGCCAACTAAAAGAGGCTTGATGGAAAGAGGAAAAAACAATTTCACAGGTTAGGGCTTCGAGAAAGAGTGATGAACAAACGATCTATCTATGGAAATCAAGAAACCGGCTATAAACAAGCCTTCTATCCGAACCGCTGTACCTAAAGAACCACTCACCTTCTCGGTCGGTGTGGAACGATAGTTGAGATCAATAATAGTAGGTCGTATCAACACAGAAAGGAAGCCTCCGACACCCATACATTAAGGTGAGCCTCATTGTTTTTCGTTCCGTATGACCAGATGACAGGAGGAGAAACTCCGATTTCAACTTCGATCAACAAAGACGGATCCCAACTGACCAGATCTGATCTTCATCTTCGATCCGACCAGCAGTGTGTGTGTGGTTTTTTCTGTGTGGGTGTGTGGATTCGTTCCGTATGACCCGTATGACCAGATGACAGGAGGAGAAACTCCGATTTCAACTTTGATCAACAAAGACGGATCCCAACTGACCAGATCTGATCTTCATCTTCGATCCGACCAGCAGAGTGCGTGTTTTTTTCTGTGTGGGTGCGTGGGATTTGTCTACTAAATATATATATATATTTTTTTTGGACGGGCAAGCATTGAAATTATCAGCGGGAATAAGACCCGCCAATATAAATTGGCTTTCTACCACGGTTGAGCTTAAACCGTGGTAGAAAGAGTTTAAATATAAATCTAGTATAAATTCTTTTTTATCACGGTTACTTATGAACCGTGGTAGAAAGATCATTTTTTACCACAGTTACTCATGAACCGTGGTAGAAGATCCTTTCTATTATAGTTTTAAAATAACCGTGGTAGATTTTTTACCACGGTTATTTTAAAATCGTAATAGAAAGGGTCTTTTATCACGATTTTTTTAAAACCGTGGTAAAAAGTGTATGGTAAAAAATTATTTTTCTTGTAGTGGGATTTTTATAACATTACTTTAGAAGGATAGTTATGAGACACACAACCTTATGATTTGGCACGTAACCCAACCTTCTTATCCGAGACACACATGGATTCCTCCTTATGTTGGGAAGGTTGGATAACTAGCGGATTGTTCTAACTTCTAACTAGTTAGGCTTGCAGCTATTTGAATCGCGAATCAACCAAGCGATCTTCTTCTCTTCTCTTCTTTATTAGATATGGCGATGGCAGAAGTTCCTACCGTGATCATGATTTACGAGAATTTTTCAGGTTCATATGCATACGATATTTTTTAAGGGTGTTCAAAAAATTCGGTAAAACGAAAAACCGGACCGGACTGAACTGAATTGGGCTGTTTGGGCTAGTTGTATAGCGGTTTCGTTTGTTCCTAGGCCAAAAATTATGAAACTGTATTTTTTCGCTCCGACCTTGGTTTAGGGTCCTACTAGACCAGACCAGTCCGGATCGAACCGTTATTATGTTATATAATATATGTGTGTGTGTGTGTGTGTGTGTGTGTGTATTCATACCTTAAACTTAAATCAAGTAAAATTATCACATCCCCCCCCCCCCTAAAATTTTAAATTCTAAAATTATCTTAACATTTTCTTTCTTTTGTTCTTTAAATTTCTTAAATTTCTTTTAAAAAAAGTCAAATTTCCCTTTTCAAATATATCTCAATTTTCTTTCCTTTTTTCTTCTTAAAATTCATCTTTTTGTGTGTTATATCAATGTTAGTTGAATTTTTTATTATTATTATTATTATTTAACTTTGTCCCCTCTAAATTAAAATAAAATAAAAAGGAAATCAACTGAAACCGCCAAACTGAACCGAACCAAACCGGTTTTTCGTGGCTTGGTTTGGTTTGGTTTGGTTTCATGGGCATTATGGTTCGGTCTGATTTCAAAAATAGTGGAACCGTTATAAATGGTTTGGTCCCAAAAAACCTTCAATCCGATCCAAGCCGGACCGTGTGCACCCCTAATATTTTTGCCATCAAGCCCAGTGATCATCAAAATATTCATGGAGCATCTTCTGGTTCCAGTTCTCGCTATAGCTCTTAATCTTTACGGCAGCAGCAGTTCTCTCATCTCCCTCTTTACGGCAGTGGTGGAGGAGATCAATACCAATACCATTACCAGTATATCAAATGAAACGTGCACTCTACCTGAACGGTATGGGATTTTTCTTAATTGGATGCAAAATATACATGGACGAGGGTAGGGATTTTAAGAATGATGTATCCAAATCCAATGGCGTCCATGTGTATGACATGATCACCTACAGTGTTGAAAAGGGACTACCCATGGTGAGTTGCAAGTCCCATCCTATTGCGATTGGTCCTACTAAGGGAAAATTTTAAGTTATGAGTTACAACGTATGCACCCATGATTTAAAGAAATTTGACCTAGAGTAACAGACATGGCTTCAGCTTTCACCCCCTCCCTCTTCCTCCGTTCTATTTTGCGAATGGTATGTCGGCCCAGGAATATGAAATCGATGCACATGTTGTTGTGGGCCATACCATTCTTTTCTCAACATGTAGTAATCGCGTATTCTCCTTTCATGTCGTCACACATACTTGGAGTGAGATTAGGGATTATTCATTACCCTTTGTGGGTAGGGTTGTGTTTGCACATAATCGATGTTACGGATTTTCTGATGATCACAACTCTGAGGATGATGACTGTGACTATGACTATAATGACTTCTCTCTTTATGCTTTTAGTGTCCACCATCCTTTCCAATTCGTTGGAGCTCCCGTCAAAAACCACTAACCCCCAATCGGCCCCATATGTGGTGTTCAACGACAAGGGCATGTGAATTATTTGGGTAACAAGCACTTCTGTATCGTTAGATCTGATCACACTGAATCCCTCTTTTCATATAGAAGACATCCCTCAAAACAATATGTTACCATTGACATATTGAGGATTCACAAAAACAGCCGTTCATCATGGATGATGTAACGAATGGACACTTACCCATTTACTTAATAGCTCAAACTGTTAGGTGGTACTGCATACTCACCCATTTATACCCAATCAATTTTTCATCCAAATCAGATGTGGGACAAATGACCCTTGTTACATTCTCCCCCACCCAAACTCACAACATCCTCGTTGTGGCTCGGACCACCCTGCCAACTCGGGTTGGTTCACCCAGACGTTTTCCTGGCCGGGTGTTTGGCATGACACCGGATCAAGGACTGAGTCTGACTTTGATACCAGCTGTAATGGGTGAGCACTTGCCCATTTACCCAAAAGCTCAAGTTATTGGGTAGTACTGCATACTCACCCATTTATACCCAATTAATTTCTCATCCGGATTCGATGTGGGACAAATGACCCTTGTTACAAATGACTACGTACTATGATGGTGACGGCACCACAGATGTCAGGAGGACTATTAGTTTTTTGTCCGTATTTAAAGTGTTTTCTTACTTCTATATTTAGTTTCTCTTTGTTACAAGGGGTCATTTGTCCCACATCGGATTCAGATGGGAAAGTGATTAGGTATAAATGGGTGGATATGCAGCATTACCCAACAGCTTGAGTTTTTGGGTATGGAAGAGAATTTTCCCACCAATCATAACATGCCACGTGTCCGCAAAACAATTATAAAGAAACAAGCCCAATCAGCCCACACGACTTAGGAGCCCGACCAAGAAAGGCCTTAGGGAGGCAAAAACGACTCACTTGGCTAAATATAGCCCATTCAATAAAAACAATAAGCCAAAGAGGCAGCCCAACCCATTTGTATTCAAACTTTGTAACTTCCATTTACATTCAAAACTGTGTAACACCCACAGTGAAGTAAATGGCAAACAATAAGGGCACCATGAATGCCCATCACTGAAAAACTATCAGTAACTACTCCATAAAGAACCCTGTAAAAGCATATAAATAGAAGATGAATGAGAATAAAAAGATAATCGAATTCCACTGAAAATACTTCTTCTGTTGTCTGATTCATTTACATTTATTCTAAGTTATTGATTTTTAGCTTATTATTTTTTTTAATTGTTTGGGTGTAAAAATTTGCACCTACATTTTGGCGCCGTCTATGGGAAGTGTTTGCAAAAAGCCTTTCCATTATCACTTTCATGCGACATCGATCCCAGAATGGCAACAGGATCAGATGCAGCACAAGTTCAACAACAAAAAATTATGTAGAAAATGCACGAAGAGATGCAAATGCAATTTGATGCCTTTCGGCAAGCCAATAAAGCTAGCACTGAAGAGATCATAGTATTAAAGCAGGCCAACGGGGCCAATATAACACAAATCAATGCTCTGCGTCAGGAGAACAAAGGACTCCGAATTACTGTTCAACAAACTAATCCACCGGTCGCCCCTTAACCAGAGCGTCAGAACGACCCAATGGATTCACCGGTTGCCCCTCAACCAGAGCGTCAGAACGACCTAATAGATCCACCGGTCGCCCCTCAACCAAAGCGTCAAAATGACCCAATAGATCCAGCGGTCGTCCCTCAACCAGAACATCGGAACGAACCAATGGATCCACCAGTCGCCCTTCAACCAAAGCGTCAGAACGACCTAATGGATCCACCGATCGCTCCTCAACCAGAGCGTCAGAACCACCCAATCGATCCACTGATCGCCCTTCAACTTGAGTGTCAGAACGACCCAATGGATCCACCGGTGGCATCTAGACTTAACACAACCCTTCGCCACAACAGAGGGCCCCTCAACAACAATATAATGTCCAACATGATACTCTAGACGGGAATGAGGGTGGAGAAAGAGCGAGTCGATCTCACGTCATGGCAGATTACTCGTTGGGGGGGCCACGAACCACGAAAGAACCTGCATCCGAAGATCATGCCTGGGAAGAAAAAGTTCCTGTGTCCTAGGTAGGGACCAGCAATTGCCAAGAAGCAACGTGATTACCAAGTTCCGAAAAGAAATGGACGAGCGCACCAAAAGGTTGAAAGCTCAAACACCCGAAGATATGGCAAGGGAGTTTACTGCCTCCATAATCAAAACCCCCTTTACAGACGAAATAGAACAGGTCGAGAGACCCAAGAAGTTTACAATACCAAAATTCGTTAAGTTCAATGGAACCGGCGATCCCTTCTAGCACTTAAACCATTATACCCAAGAGATGACCTCGAAAAGGCAAAATGATATGTTTATGTGCAAAATATTTTCGTCCAGCCTAACAGGTGTAGTGTTGGAATGGTTCAAGAACCGTTCGTATAAGTCAATTACGAATTTTGAGGCACTATGCACAGCGTTTCTATCTCAATACTGTGGAAACAAGAAGTAGAAGAAGACTATCTCTAGTCTCTTCACTATTTGGCAAATGAAGGGAGAGGGTCTCTAGACTTTCCTCACCTGATTCAACATAGAATCCTCAGAAATTTTGGATTGCAATCAAGCAACAACTATTGAAGCATTCAAAATAGCCATGATACAGGGCACACATTTTCATTCTTCTCTTGTGAAGAAAACTCCGACAGACATGTCAGAATTAAACGCAAGAACGCAAAATTACATCAGGCTCAAAGAAAATGAGATGATCAGAAAACAGAGGGCGACTCTAGTTGAGGTAGAAAACCGACCAAAGGAACTCCCGAACAACTCAAGAGCTCAGCGAGAACCCCTGAGCATCGAGGGAAGTGCTCCCG